GGGGCGTGCCCTGAAACAGTGAGCTCTTGTAGCGCCCGGTGAACGTGCGAGGAATTATGCAAAACCGCCGCGCCTTCGCACCGCGGAGGGTTCCGCGACTCGACGTGCGCCACTGTGAAAAATGAACCCGGCAGGCTGCGGAGGTGCACCGCCAGACGGGCAGACCACATAGGGCTGTGAAGCGGGTGCTCGAGGAATGCAAATCCCAAGTTTTTAACCCGCCACTCGAGGCGACGGAGGGCCCCCGAGAACAACGCATCGATGGCCTCGCACGTGCTGCTGCGACGTTCCCGGGGCGAGTCCCGCAGTAGGCGACTGAATCCCCAATGCTCGAAAGCGCAATGGGCGTCGTCGAAGAACGTCTGCGGTCGCGAGGCTGCTGCTGAAGTCGGCCGCGCCGATCTCCGTGTCCAAGGGCGGAAGGGCGGTGGTGCCGTTGCAGGCCGCCTGCCAGGTGAGCTCGGCACCTGCGCCCGGGCCGGCCTCGCCGGACAGTGGAAGAGGGAGGTCCCGCGCGTCGCACTGCTGACGACGGTGTGCCACTGTGCGCGCGACGCAGCAAACTTCCGCACATGGCCGGGCACGGCGACCGCGAACCGAGATGTGGCGAAGCGCCCCCTCGCCAGTAGTAGCTCGCACTCGGTAGCGTGAGACCCTCCTCGGTGAGGCGGGCCTCTCAAGCCTCGTGGCGCTCGCAGCCAGGGGGGCGGCTTTCGCAGAGGCGCCGCCTGTGCCGGCCACTCCGCCGGGCCGCTCTGGCGCCCTTCGGCGTGGCGGAATATCTCTTCCAGCGCTGCTTGGGCTGGCCTGCAAAAACCGGCGGCGAAACATGCGAGGCCAGCCCAATGTTGGGTCGCCGCCTGGGACCACCGAGGAATGCCTAGCAGAGCGATAGTGCGAGCGAACATCTTAAAACCCTTCGACTTGAAGTGGCCCAAAAATCCGGCTACCCCGTCGAGCTCCCCGCCGAGGATGGCGCCAGAAGTGGCCAACAGAAGCTGCTTGCTCGCGTTCATGGGGAGGCCCAGCTCCGCGGCAACCTCCGAAAACTTGCGATGCTCGTTCGACTCGAGGAACCCGTGGTCCTTCAGCTTCGCGATAATGTGCTTGACCTTGCGGATGTAGTCCGCCTGCTGCAAGAGCGACAGGATGACAGCCTCGATGAAGGAGTCCTTTTCGCTCGGGAAGTGCGGCTCTCAGTCGAGCAGCGCCTTTAACAGGCCCAAGCAAATGAAGATACCCATGCGACAACTGGCAATATGCATATCAACGCGACGATGATGATCACGATGTGCACTGGTTGTGATCCATCCGCTTTTGGATGTAACTCGTGGCTGACGAATCCACCGCGTAGGTTGGAGGCGGTGCAGCCGGCTGAGGAGCCGGCGTTCTTGCGGATGTAATCAAACCCGTCCATGCATGCGACGGCTACATTCTTGGGTGGCAGCCGCTGCTGGCGGTTGAGCTCCTCGCCGCTTTCTGCTTCCACCAGGCCGAACACGAAGCGCTGGGCCATGTTCTGCATGATCTCGACAGCAAACGATGCCGCCATCGGAACATACCGTATGCACATGAACACTTCCTTGTTGGGGCCCCCTCCGAAGGCTGATAGCGGCGCGCGCATCAGCGGGGAGGGAGCTCGAGCAGTTTGAAGCAACTCTCCATGTCCTCCGACTCCACCAAGAACACCTTGTCTGGCTCGAGCTGCGCGAACGCCAGCTGGCCCATAACAAAAAAAACAAGCGCGCAGCATCGCCGCGCACCCTGCGGAGATGAGCGTTGAGGGGGGTGAAGATGCGGATGAAGCGAAGCAGTGTTGCCCCCTGGCCCTCGATTACCTTGGCCTTGTCCACGCCCATCGCGCCCTGCAACACCATCTGCCCGTTGCCGTCTGTAAACGCGTCCTGTTCCTCGACTTCTGGGAGAATCCCGAGCCGCGCTCCTGCCGTGACCAGAATGCCATTCATGGTCAGAACCGTGCGCTTTCGACCTCGGAGGGCAAGGGGGCCGCTCTGACCGCGGGGGAAGGCGCCGCTCTGGGCAGAGGAGGTCGTCGCGGAGCTCTTCCGACACGAACTTCGCGACGAGGGGGATACATGCGTGGCCCTGCTTCGGCCGCGCGGGGGCAGCCCGCGCGCGCTCCAGGTCGCGCCGCTTGGTCGCCGCGTCCCCGCTGTATCGGACGACCCTGCTCTCGAGGTCCTCGGTGAGGGGGCCGGCCGATGTCGAAGGTGCCTGGCGGCCCGGCCAGCGTGTGGCCCGCGGATTCCGCGACGGTCTGGGCCACGAGCCGTTGAGCTGGTGACAGCTCCGGTGCTCGGTGCACGCGGGCGCTGCCGACCGCCCAGCGCAGGCCAAGAAGTCAACGGCATCCACCGCGAACCGCGCATGAGCGACGAAATGCCCCTGCGCCTGGGCCGGTTCCTCCGAAGCGCTTCGAGCTGAACCTCGGCTACCTCGAGATGGGTTCGAGAGTTCCGGGGCCGCCTGGCGAAGTGCCGAAGGCGGGGCAGGCTGGAACGCCCGCGCGTTCACGCTCGTACGCATGGTCTCTGGGGCCCTCCTGCTCCCCGCCCCCCCTGGCTAAGCTGCAGCTCTTTTTTTTCGATTCGCTCAGCCTCTGGGCGGACTGCCCAAGATGGGTCGGAGACTCCCGGGCGAAAGCGGCGAGAAGTGCGCCGGCGTCGGCCCCCGTCTCGCAGCCGGCGGCTGCCTCGCGGAGCTGGCGCTGCCAAGAAGCGAGCCCCCCTGGGCCCCGGCGCTCCGGCGCCCAGGGGCTTTGCCGCGCCCTGCTTGCCGTCCTTGCCCCTGCCCTTCTTGCCTTCTGCGCGCCGTCCTCGTTCCGGTAGTGGCCCCCTGTCCGGGGGTTGCCCTTTCCTTTTCCCCTAGCCTTCGCGTGCGAGCTCCAACCGCTGTCGGAGTAGTGGGGCCCTCTCGAGAAGAGCCTGCTCTGGAGCTTCGCCTCCTCGACCGCCGCGAGCTCCATCTCCTTGTCCACGATCGCCGAGTCGAGGGGCTCGATCAGCTCCACGTACTGCGCCTTCTCCCAGGAGCCAGTCTTGTGCGCGAGCTCCAGCGCCGCCGGCCTCTGGGCCAGAACGTCCGCCGCCTGCCGGTGCTTCCCGAGGGCGAGGTAGTCGAGGCACGTGGCTACCGTCAGCATCTCCCTGGCGTTGCGGATCTTGAGGCCGGTCGGCTGCGAGAACTGGACGCAGTAGTTCTTCGCGGACACTGGAGTGTCCAGCGGGCCCCGGTGCTGGGCCTCGCCGCCGCGCCCCGAGCGATCCTCCGTGCGCTGGAGTGCCTGGGCCGCTAGCTCTCCCTCGTGGGCCGTGGCGAAGGAGAGCAGCCAGGATTGTCCACCCCAGCTCTCTGACGACGAGGCGAGGCGAAAAACCGACCTGTCGGAGTCGTCGATGCGCCAGCGCCCCCGCAGCCTCCGCCAGCGGTCGCCCGAGCTGCTGCGGCGGCGGCGGTCGCTCCTCGAGGGGCGCCGTCCGCCGCGCCTGCTGCGGATGCGGGCGTGGCCATGGCGCTCGTCCCCAGCGCGCTCGTCCCCTGGGCGCCGCGGGCTCTCGCCGCGGGCTCTCGCCGCGCTGGCCGCAGCTCCGGCTGCGAAGGCGCTCGCCCCCTGCGTTCTCGTCCCGGGGGCGCCGCGGGTTCCCGCTGGCCTGGCCGCGGCTCCGGCTGCGCCGGCGTTCGTCCTTGCTTTCGCCTCCGCCCTCGCGCCCCCGGGTCAATTGGGCGCGGCGCCGGCGGCTCGGGCTCTGGTCCGGCCGGCTTGCGACGCCCCCGTGGCTCCCAAAGCTGAGGCGCTGCCGGTAGGGCGGGTCCCGCTCGCGCCCGGAGCTGCGCGCGCGCGGCTCCTGCCGCGGTCCCGCGCCCGGCCGCCAGCCGTGTCCTCGCCGCCCGGCTGCCCCAGCTCGTCGCGCAGGGCGGCCAGGCCAGCGCCGACCTGCCCCGCCGGCGGGCGGGTGAGCTGAGGTCTCCGGCCGTCCCCCTTGTAGTCGTCATTCTCCTTGTCCTTGAGTCGCCCTTGCCGCTGTTCTCGCCGTCCTTCTTGCCGTTGTTTTGGTCGTCCTCCCCGCCGTCCTCCGTGGCTTTCCTGAAGGCGGCCTTGGTGAGGGCCGCGGCCTCCTTGAAGCCGTCGTCCCTGCGCCACTTCGCGGCCGCGAAATGCGGCCAAGCAGCCTTCGGATTGAGCATCCGCCACCGGTCTGAAGGAATGACTGGGCGCCAGCCGTGGCGCTCCTCCCACTCGTCTTCCTTGCCGGCGGTCTGCCGCCAGAGCTCAGGGTTCGGGTGGCCCTTGTTCTTGAAGAGCCACCACGAGTAGAACTTGTCGCTCGCCGCCGCGCACCCCGCCTCGAACAGGCGCTTCTTTGGGCCCAGAGCCTGGATCACGAGGGTGCCCATGCCCTGCGCCTTCCCGTTCTCGTCGTGCACCTGGCAGTCCACGACGTCCCCGGGCCGCCTCGGTACTGCGGCAGCCTCTGGGTCGAAGCCTGGTGATGCCCAAGGCCCCGCGGCTTCTGCAGCACCGCCTGGACTCGCCATGCCCACAAACGCGAAACGCAAAACTGGCCGTATTCGGACGGCCCGATAGCAGAAAACCCGAGTGCACACTCTTCAGCAAATGGCTACGTCGCGCGATGGCAGGAGCTGAAAAATACTGCTGTGTGGGTCATGCTGCGCTTCCCCACCCAAGTCAAATGTATGCATGCATGTATGTGTGTATGTACGCATGCATGTATGAATGTATGTACGCATGCAGGTATGTATGTATGTATCCATGAAGGTATGTATACTTGCACGAGTGTATGTATAGATGACTGTATGTATGCATGCATGCATGCATGCGTATCTGTGCATACCTATACAGAGAAAGAAAGAGAGAGAGAGAGAGAGAGAGAGATAGATGTAGGGAAAGAGAGAGAGAGAGAGGGATATCCATATTGAGCGACAGATAATGCCAGAGAGAGCGGGGAAGCCGCGGAGGCCTTCCGTGGGCGGGCCTCACCAGGGTAGCTCGTCTCGAGCCCGCCGTCGCCCTCTGGCACGACGAGCGT